AAATGGGCACCAGTGGGAAAGGGAGGTTGGGGTTAGATTTTGGAGAATCATGGATGCCAAGAGGGTCTGAGTAACATAGCTGCCATGTGCACTGGGGCTTTATTTACTTGTTACCTTTTCTGATAGTTAACATTTCAGTAATTTTCCTTTATACTACAAAAAAGATTAAAAAAAAAAAACACACCATGTTGAAGTTCAAATTTATTTTCTATTCAGGCTCTCCCCCACCTGCTCCCTCCCCCCGAATACCCTACAGCTTCTGTTTTCAGGGTAGGAGAGTATTACCTTAAAAATGCCGAATGCCACAAAAATTGGTTAAATTATTTTTCTGGATTTTTATGAAGGCTCTAAGAAATTATTTTTAAAGCTGTCAGCGTTTTTCTCCTGAATAAAAAAAATAGCATTTTTGTAATAGGCCAACCTAATGAGCAAAACAAAGGTTTCGCTAACTTTTGTATTCATTGAACATCTATTTTTTATTCAAATCCCAGTGGTATAGGGACAACCTAACTGCATGACTCATCAGTAACATAAGTTAATTCTTCTCTAAAAAAACAAACGAAAAAAACCCAAACCCATTCCCATTGAGTCAATTCCAACTCATAGCGACCCTATAGGACAGAGTAGAGCTGCCCCATAGGGTTTCCAAGGCTGTAAATCTTTACAGAAGCAGACTGCCACATCTTTCTCCCACAGAGCAGCTAATGGGTTCAAAAAACCAACCTTCTAGTTAGCAGGCAAGTGCTTCAAAAACTGCATCACCAGGGCTCCTTCAATTCTTCTCTAGATTATTTTTTACAGTGCACTTAGCCTAAACGTATTATTATTTAATTCATATATGAAAAGCAGCCCTGAATATGAAACATTCACTAGTCAAAACTCTTAAGGACTAAATTATTTTATTAAAAAGAAAGAGGACTCATTTTAAAAACATAATTAATATCAAGGACCTTCACAACAGAACTTAAAAAATAGCTTTTAAAACTACGTTTTAAAAACTATGAAAATGTGAGTATCTATTTGACTGAAGAAACATTAATCCATCAAAGTATTTTTATCAAGGTTCTGGAGATACCTGCCTCACTAACTCAAAATGAAAAACAAATAGCTGACATAAGGATCACTTAGTAAGTTATATCCACCGCTGGGTAGCCTAGGAAGCTGGGCCTTTATTTCTGCTCTACTTTCATTTTGAGCTTTCCTCTAAAGGCAGTGTCTAGACAGGTATTGAATTGATTGTGCTAGGAATGACTTAGGAAGATTTCTGAGCAGTCAACGGGATGGACCCATGGTCTAGAAATAATGGGATGTTAAATGACCAAAATAATTGGAATGTGCGTTTATCTTGATCATTAAAGAAAAATAAAACATTTGCTTCAAAGCACATCAGAACATTACTCTGCCATAAAGAGAAATGAAGTTTGACACGTGCTACCACATGAATGGACCTTGAAAACATCATGCTGAGTGAAATAAGTTGATCACATACATATTGTATGATCCCACTTACAGGTAAACGTATCTAGACCAAAGTTTATGACTGGTTACCAGGGGTGGGAGGGACTGGAGGAGTCAGGCATTGCTTAGGGAGCACTGACTCCCTAAGGGTGGTAGAAAAATTTGAAAAAGGATAGTGGTGACGGTTGCAAAACATGAACATAATCAATGTCACTGAATGATACATGTAAAAATTGTTGAATTAGCAAATGTTTTGTTATATATTATTTTTTAGCACAATACTACTACTAATAAAAGCACACCAGTCTGTTACCTGGGTTCTTTTTCTACTCAATACTGAAAAATAGAGATCTGGGAAATGGGTTTCCAACTGGAAGAATTCCAAAATTATGTTCTTCTACAATGTTTAAGCTATGTGTCACAATCAAAATGAAAGTCCCATCTGAAGAGATTTAACCATACATAGGTTAATATTCCATTTACATTTTCTTTAGCCCAGAATAATTTGGATTTGTAAGCTGCAGCTACATCACTACATAATCATCAGAGAAGATCTGATTCAGGCATATAAATCATATTTTTATGGCACCAAAACACATAAGTCAGTTGCCTGCTGGATGCCAGATGTCTAGATTTGGGAAGAGTGTGGCGTGGTCTATAACATACAGAATAGCTGGTTGAAGAGTGGAAAATTCAGTGAATTAGGTTGTTTGATTGATATAGAATCACAGAATTAGAAATTCAATCAGGTAATTGATTTCTGTGATTTTCAAACAATATTCCCCAGGGTCCTAGCGTTCCTTGAAAGTCAGTTCAGAAACCTCCGTTAAAGCTGCAAGTGGGTGGCTAAAGGGGAAGCTAAATGGATTGAACAGACTAAACAGAGACCAAAGAGCAGAAATAAAAGTAATACAGAGTGGAATAAATTTACTTTGAGGGATTTTTATCTCTTCTTATGTACACTGAAAGCAGCTAAGTGCTGATTTTGGTACACCACTAGAAGCTTCTTTTGCTAAGCTGGTATATAGCTGCATTGAGATCCATTCACATAAAACATTAGCAAAAAGGCATTCTGTATGAGTGGAAACCTCACTACTGTTGGCCTTCTATTGGCCAAAGCAATGAATTGTGAATAGTTATCACAATCTCCTACAGAACTTTGTATTTGGAAAAGTTTCCTTCATCAGGATAACAGGCAAAGCTAATTAAAACCAGTTGTTGAGCTTTCTTTCCTATGTACAGATCATATAGATGTTTCCTTTTCTGTGCAGCAAACACATTTTGATAAAAACCTCTGAGAGGGGATTTTCTTTAAGTGTTGAGCTGCATTAAGTCTTTAATGTTATGACATTTAATTCTGATTTATTTTTGCTTTTGCAATAACTTACTGAAGGCTCTCTATCAAGACTGCTCCTCTCTCTAAAGAGAATAATTGTCATAGGAAGTCAGAAGATGACCCTATTATCAAGTTTATGATAACTTTCTCTGACTTTTCTGGGAAGAGAAAATTATACCATCAATACTACATAGTTTGGGCTTTAAATAGTATTTTCCTGTAAGCAAGGGGATATATATTTTACTTACATTGTAAAGTGACACTTTTTTAATAGGCAAAAGATAAACAGTGTTAAGAGCAGAACTGGCATGTTTTCCTAGGCTGTCTTGATGACAATGACCTTAAAGCCAATGATTTCTCCATAAAGACAAAATAAGTTTATTACAACTTGATTGCATTACCTGAAATACAACCCGTGACTTAAGACGTGGCCTTAAGTTTTATGAGGTCTGAAATGATAAATAGGAAATGGATGGAATTAAACCAGCAAATTATTGCACAGTCAACGACTGCAGTTGTATATGGCTACACAACAGATGCAGACGATTGTTGAGGAAAGTTGGACCAAATTCCCACCCTGTTCGGTATCATTGATAGTTTTAACCAAAATATGTTCTTGCTTTAGAGAAACTGACCAGCAACTTGCACTTACTTATGAATTCTTCCCTTTTCCATGTCCTGCCCCAGGTCACCCTCCCCTGGCAATGTAATCATTATTCTCAATTTTGTATTTATCATTTCCTGGCCTTTAAAGAAATAGTAATGATATAAATCATCATTTTGTAAGCTATTGTTAAGGGGTGGGGCATTACCCAATTAGTGATCCCCAAAAATCTTGATGGCTTCCATCATGCAAAACCAAACATCTGCATGATGGAAGAAAAATTTAATTTTCACAGATACTTTAGAGCCCTTATAGATGAAGTTCAACTTCAAAGATTATCTTCTTACCAGATCAGTTTTGACAGAAGTGAGGCAAAGGAAAGAAAAAATAGAATATAAACATAATGAAGCACTGAATTTAATTTGATCCTTTTGCCATTTTATATTTGCTCGAGCCCATAATGATTTTTAAAAGAACTAATACTTGACAAATATAATGTAATATTATCAAGTTACGCCTAAAATTTGTTTTGTGAGCCAGTCAACCAATTAGAACCAAATGGTGATAAAGATTTTTTTTTTTCCAAATTGGCCTATCTTCCATGATTTTACTGAGTTAGCTCTACAGTTCATAAAACACATGGATCTCCACAGGTCTTCACATTATTTCCCTTAAGTAGGTACCCAAAGCCATAAACATGATTTTAGATAAAGGTTTAAAAAGTAGAAAGTTTTATTCTCTCCTGTTTCTACGGGCATTGAAGCTATGGTTTTGTGGAACTTTTAAGTATTTGCTTTATCCCTTCTTTAAGTCTTTATGCTCCTTGAAGCCAAGGACAATGCTTTACTTGTCTTTGCATAGTACAAGAAAAAAAAAAAAATCCAAAAACCAACATAAAAGAACAACAACCAAACCCTCCCCCCACAAACCAAATGAAAACAAAACAAAAACCACAAAAAATATTAAACCAGTTGACCTTAAGTCAGTTCTGACTCATGGTGAAGCTATGTGTGTCAGAGTAGAATTGTACTCCATAGAGTTTTCAGTGGCTAATTTTTTGCAAGTAGATCACCAGGACTTTCTTCTGAGGTGCCTCTGAGTGGACTCCAAGAGCCAACATTTGGTTAGCAGCCAAGCACATTAACCATTTGTACCACCCAGGGAATCCAGTAAATAAATCTAAATTCTACTATGCCATTTCAATTTCCACTGCAGGATTTCATTATATTGAAAGTAGAAAGAAACTACTGATACACATAAGAAATGTGCAATTCTGTTTTTAATGCTATTAAAGCAACATTAAAAAAAATCAATCACAATTATCATTACATTTGTTTTAAAACACACCAGTGTTTCCTTAACTCCTGAGATTTTTCAGTCTCTTCTTTTCTCATGGCAGATGCCAAACCAGAGAGAGTAGGATTCTACACTGAAAGTCTAAATATATTGCCCTACATGAGAAATGTCTTATTGGCATGCAATATTCTGAAATATGGCATTTGGCAGGAAAAGTGTACACATTTTCAACACTGGCCCTACTGTCCACCGACCTGGCAGCTCTAATGAGAATAATAAAGTATATAGTGACAAGTGTTCACTTACCATTATGAGACATCCCCACAGCAAGACATTTCTGAAACCGACAGTATTGACATTTATTTCTACTTTTTTTGTGGATCCGACAGTTAAGGTCACATCTATCATAAATAAGCTTCAATCTGATTGTCCTCCGGAAGAAACCCTGCAAGGGGATATGAAAAAAAAAGAAGTAAATCTTAACTGTCTGTGACATACATAGCAACATGTGGCTAAAGGAGCCTTGGCCTGGGAGAGGGAGGTTCCTGACACAGCTCTGTCACTGGTGACTTGAAACAAGTCACTTTACCTTTCTGAAACTCTATTTTCTTTTGATATAAGATAAAGAATTAGAGGAACTCCAGTGTCCTTTGGACACTGATCACATCCAACTGATGTCATTCGATGTATCTTGGCTCTACATTTGGTTTTCAGCATGCTCTAAGAAGTGCTCTGGATTTAATGTAATGCAAATAAAACACCATGTAATCAGTTCAGTCTCTCTGCAAATCATTCCAATGGCATGCCCTAGCCTTTACAATTGTGCTAAGCAGTTTGGCAAAGTTATAATCATTTCATTCTAAACCATGATCAGGGCCAATAAAAATCCACATGTGGATAATTGTTTGGAATTCTCTACACTGCATAATTTCCTGCAGAAATTTATTTCATTTATTTGCGCAATTGAAAAAGTGCCCCATAACCATTGTAGCCTACGGACAAAAAGAGATAGTAGAAAATAACATGAGAAGTAATATATAAGTCCACAGGAAATCTACTGCTATCACAAAATGGCAAATATGTCAATTAGAGGCTAACAGAATTCTGTTATATTTGTATCTTTCGGAAAGAAATGAAGAACAATTTACCATCAGAAATGTTTTCTAACTCCATCTTTTTTGTTGTTGCTGATAGTATTCCTATTCATTTCTATTGTGTTCATCTTCATGAAACTCAATTTTTAATTCTTTCAAATTTATCTGGCCCTGTTTGGTACAAAAAGCACCGAAGGAGGATAGGTTCTGCCACTGACATGCATTTTGGCTTTCTCCAGATTTCTATCCTGAACTCTAGACAAGTACGTCCTCCTGCTTACTTGACATCTCCACTGGGAAATCTAATAGCATCTCAAACTCAGCATGTCCCAAACTGAACTCCTGAGTTCCACCTATAGATCTACTTTACTTGCAGCTTTCTCCATCTCGTTGACGCAACTCCACCCTCTCAGTTCCTCCAGCCAAAATCCTCGAAGTGATCCCTGACTTCTTGCTTTCTCTCACTTGGAAAGCTCTTTCTCTAAATATACACTTGCCTATTTCCTTCATCGCCTTCAAGTTTTGCTCAAATCTCACCTTCTCAATGAGACTTACCTGCTCTATTGAATACCTGGTGGTGGCCTGTAGCACTTTCCAATGGCACTTACCACTTTCTAAGATACCACATAATTTGTTTATTAAATTTATTTTTTTATTTTCTGTCCCTCCTCCATTTCTCAATTAAAATTGTGAGCTCCTTGGGAGGCAAAGATTGTCCCTTCTGCCCCAGGATGTAACCCAAACACCTACAATAGTGCTGTTAAAATCTGTTGAATGAATGTATGTGAGTCAACTTCCTTTCTGAGTCTCACCTTTTCCATCTGTAAAATGAGGACATACTTTCATCTCTGCTGTTTTGTGATTCTAAACTGTGACTGAGACATTACAAGGTCATTGGCATATTACTTTTCCCTTAATTTTTTGCTGTTGTCTTTTTAAATGTAATATTAGTTACAAAGAAAAAATATATGTAATTATAGAGTATAAAAAGATAATAATCACACACGAACCCATTGTCCAGCCCAAGATCTAAAACTATGTCCACAACTTGTATTTACTTATAAGTTCTTCTCTTATCCAACTCCTGTCTCCTGATCAATCCCCCTTGGCAGAGTAATCATTATTCTTAATTTTGTATTTATCATTCCCTTGCCTTTTACTAAGGTATAGCTTTATCACCTAAGTAAGTATAACTAAGTAATACATTGTTTAGTTTTGCTTCTTGGGGGCTTTATTAAGTGGTATCATACCATATGTAGCTTTTTGTGACTTCCATTTTTTAAAATTTAGTATTAAGTGTTCAAAATTCATCTTTTTTAGAGAAGTTATGATTCATTCATTTTCCCATTACACAACACTTTGAATTCCACTGTCTTTGGTCTTCCAGTGTTGCTGTTGAGAAATCTGTTATCAATCGCCTTTGAAGGTGATCTCTTTTCTCTTTGATTGCTTTTAGTGATTCTCTTTATCTTTAATGTTCTTCAGTTTTACTGCAATGTATCTAGGCATGTATTTCTTCTCACTTATCTTCTTGGACATGTTATTGTTTCCTGCATCATGGCTTCACTTGTTCGTCAGTTCTTGGACGCGGATTAGATACGTATTAGACCTTTTTATTCTAGCCTTCATATTTCTGAACTACTCTTTTGTATTTTCCACCTTCTTGACACTAGTTACCCACTAATATTGACTGCAAAAGTAAAAATCAGTGCGGCAGCCAAATAAGATCACAAAACATATATAATTACAATGGCAAAAGTAAAAACAAACATTTCTCACCGAAGTTTATCAGTAAGAATGGTTCTGTACATTACTCTTCTATTGATCAGTGAAGCTGACATGTCTTTTTAATATTCAAAAGTACTATGAACCCTTTGAGAATTAAAAGAGGCTTCAAATTTCAGTAGATCCTGGATTGGACATAATCTTTGAGACACTGATGGTCTCACTGTGGGTAATTTCTTTGCATGTATCTTTTGGTTCAGTCATCCTTCCTTCTATTGTGTCCAGTATTCTGTTTAACCCTTCCATTGAATTTTTTATTTCAATAATTATATTTCTCACTTTAGAAGTTTTACTTGGTTTTCAAATCTGCTCATCTTTCCTTTCGTTGTTGTTTGTTCATTGTTGTGATTTGCCTCTCTTACCTTAAACACTTCATATATAGCTGTTCTATATTCGGCACCAGGCAATCTCAATATCTGCTTTCCTCGGGTAGGTGTGGGGGAGTCTAAATGTGTTGTGTTTTGTTTCAAATGAGTGTCACTTAAGGTGACTTGCCTTCTTATGTGCTTGCTGATATTTTATTTTGAGCTTTTTGCTTGATATTAAACTGTGGGGATCCTACAGGGTCTGAATTGTGAATTCTTCCCTCCAAAGAGAATCTGCATCTGATTCTGCTGAAAGCCAGGGCCACAAGTAACTTATTACGATCTCACACCCCCTAGAAAATCCTAGCTCAATTAAGCAGCCCCAGACTCAGTTCCTTCTCAATGATGACCCTTAACACTTCTATAGGCATCTGCCTTTGGGGCAATTGATCATGAGAGACACCCTATCCCTCATAGTCTTCCGGCAAGCTCATTGCTTGGGAGCTAGTTTTTTGTTTGTTTTGTTTTTGCCGTTATTGTTTTGGAGAGTTTCCCTACCTCTTGCGAGACCAGCAATGTCTCAGAAAATACGTCCTATGTAGGATATGCTGAAAGTTGAAGCTTCTTTTAATTCTCAAAGGGTTCTGAGGACACTTTGAATATTAAAAACTATTTTTCTTCACTGGTCAATAGAAGGATAATTCAAAGAACTGTCCTCAGAACTGCTGGTGAGAAATTTTGCTTTCATTTTTGCCATTGTGATCGTATATATTTTGTGGTACTTCTTGGCTGATTTTCTGATAATGACTTTTTAAAACTGGTATTAGTGGTTGAAAATAAGAAAATTACGTTTTTTAAGTTTAAACCCTTCAATGCAAATTTTTGGTTTGACTTATATGTTACCTTTCAAAAGTGTATCACATTCTTTTTTTTGATAATTCTGGGTCTCTCAATGTTAAAAAGAATAATCATTGTGAATATCATTTATGTACTATATATAAAATTTTAAAATGAATATATACAGACCCAAGCACCTGGAACCTGCTTTTACATCTTTTTTTACACTATGTTCAGGATAACCAATTATTTTCTTGTCATTTTACTCAAGAAATCTAGAGAGGAAAATGTAAGGATAATATTACTGAGTGTTTTCTGTAAGACTATTTATTGATTTGAAGAATGAAGCAGGCTTCTCCGAAGTTTCTTTATATTAATGGTAAAGAAATACTCTTTAACAATTCTCTTCTCTATTATTTCAGAGTTCATAAAACAATGTGCAATTTCAATAACTTACTCTTCCAGTAATCATGAAGTTTGTGAAGTGGTGTGATAAAGATGATCAGTCAACATTTCAGAAAATTGTTTTGTGTATATATTAACTCTAAGGTCTTCACCGTCTTCGGTGAGAAGGTGATGCCTGTTTTTTTTTTTTTTAATATTTTATCCAACTTCTCCGTTAAATCTTCAGTTTTAACAAAAATTCAGGTGCAATGAAACCTAAGAATGGTATTGTTAATTTTACAGTGAGAGTAAAGGCCCTATGTTGGGCCTAAATTCAGTTTTCCCAAGAAACGCTATGGCCCATAAAGGCTGAATCAATGAGGTACACTGGCAGGTAGGAGCAGACTAAAAACTCTTCCTGAGGTAGGATCCTACATAGAAATACAAAAGTAGGCAACATGGTATTGTGTGGTAGATTGTATTTAAGTACATTTTTATGTAAGTCTATGGATCTAAGATGATCTTTCATTAAAGATACAAAAATATGATGAAACCTACCAAAGAAAAAATATGCGTCCAATTTGTAAGCAACAAACAATAGTTTTGCAAGCATTAAGGTGTATAAGTCTGCAATATCAACCCACCCAAGTATCTGTTACTATTTCACTTTTATCTAAAACCAATGTTTTTATTCCCATCTGTTTGACTGAATTTTGGCAAGTATTACAAATATAAACCTATTCCATTGACATTGTAAAATCTTTTAAGACCTACTGATAGTTATCTTAAGCAATATAACTATTCTTTTCAATCCATAAATCAATCTGCAGCTTCATGGACAACTATATTTTAATTATGGGTATACTTCACATTCTACTGAAATGGCAAGTGTTATACGGTCAAAGCACCTTTCAGAAAATATGTACAGATGATTCAAACTCATTTACTCATTTCATTTTCCTGGCTTTTCACTGAGTATTGGTTATGAGCTGAGAAGACATCTTTGACCACTAAGAGCCACTGGTCTAATTTAGCTGTATTCAGAGTGTGGCAGCGATTTTATTTAGTTCCAAAGTAGCAAAGAATGAGAACTGGTATTTCTCCAGTCTCAATACCTTATAAGAGTGATTTTCAAATTTTTTGGTCTCATGATGCCTTTACTCTCTTAAAACATCCTCTTAGATTGGTAAAATTACCAATCATTTGGTAAGATTAGACTTGGTAAGATTATTCATCTCTAAAGTCTATCATTTCAGAATGACTTTTTTAAATGAGGGTTATATCTACTGATGTTTATCAGATTAGAAATTAAAACTGAGAAATTATGTTTCATAAGCAAACATTCCATTAGCCATGAGAGCTGTGTTATCATCATCACACATCATGTACCTTCTGGAACATTCTACCTACACTTGCGAGAGAATGAGTGAAAAAGGTAAATAACAACTAAGAATTACTATGAAAACAGTTTCGACCTCTTAGATGCTATGAAAGGGCCTGGACCACACTTTGAGAGCTGGTAGCTTACAGCTTGGAGAAGCCAAATTATATTGTTCCACTAAAATTTTTCTTACTGTCTTTAAAATGTGTAGATATCGCTTTTCCCTTTTAAGGTTAGCATAACTGTCTTTGCATTTTAGCCTAGGAATTCTGTAATCTATATTTTGGATGGTTTACAAGTTACCACAGGTTAGTGGACCATACTCTTAGTTTTCCAAGAGTAGGTTACGGATTCCTCTGTATTTTTCATCTCTGCCTTCTTCCCTTTCTATTCCTAACTTGAAGGCATTTGAATTTTCTCTTCCCTCTTCTTCTTTTTGTTTCTTTTCTTCTTTGCTTGCTTCTATCTTCTAAGATTTAATTCCCTCAGAATTTAGCTTTTATCACTATTAACTAATCACCGACAATGTTTTTTAAAATTGTCAGCCATTCTCAGTAATGTTAATACTTCACAAATTTGTACTAATACAATCACGGTGGAACTATGTGCTTAAAGGTTTTATAAGTGCTTTACTAGCCCACAAGAAACAAGAAGTTATTGTGGAAACTTTAACCAACCATCCCATTTAAATTCGTTAGTTACTGTAAATTATCAAGATGACCAACATTGAATGATTTCTTCATGTTAACAACTGCTCAGATTCTAGCAGCAATTTATTCACTCAAAAATTATGTAACTCTAACTCAATAAAATGACATGTTCTTACTACTCACTGAGGTCTATAAAACTGTATGCAATGACTTCTTATAAGATCACAGATAATTTAATTTGATCACAGAGTGAACGGGCTTTATTGTTTTAAATGAAAGCATCTTTTGTCAGAAGTATTTCAAAGAGTCATTCTGAAATGATAGATATTAGAGATGAATAATCTTACCAAGGCTAAGCTTACCAAGTCATTTTACACATAGGGTGCTTAAGGGCTGAGGTGTTTATGTGACTGGCTAGTGCCTTTGTGCAAGCGGCACAGCTGACTCCTAGTCTGTCTCTTTTCACTCTATTAGGTAATAAACTCTATTTACAGTACACTCTATTTACAGTAATAAACTGTTTGAATTGAAGGTACTTTTAGAGATCATCTACTTCAACTCCATCATTCTTTCAATGAGGAAACTTAGGCCAAATGTGGTTAAATAATGATACATACAAAAGTACATTGTGCCATATCTGTGCATAGCAAGAATTCAGTATATACTAGTTTCCTTGTATGATCTGACATACAGCTCGTCAGTGAGAAAGCTAAAGTAAGGAACTCAGATGTCCTAACTCCTACCTAACTGGTATTCTGTAACCTTATTCTGAATGAAAAACCCAGTTGAGGACTGTCTGAATTCTTATTATATATAAGCACTGTTTATTTTATAAGGTAAGTATTTATGAACAATTTATTCTATGCCCTAGAGTATATAATAAATACTATTTTATTCACTGAGTATATTAGAATGAACTATCTTAAAAGGTTGCATATTAAAATGTGAATGGATTAGCATTTTTCTTAGTAATAGGGTAGTATATTACTAAATATCTGAACTTGGCAAAATACCAGTTTTTACAAAGAATGGGGCGAGGACAAATAGTAGTATCTCCTTTCCAAAATAGTTATATCTCTTTGCCTGTCCATAATGTATGGCTCCAACTGATGCTAGAATAAGGAAACATAGAGCACTAGCGTAGGAGTCTATGAGATACATGTTCTAGTTCTAGATCTGTCACATAATGAATGTCCATGGGCAAGTCTCTCTAATCCATCATTTCTATATCTGTAAAGTGGTCATGGAGTCCCTGGCTACTGCAAATGGTTAATGTTCTCGTTACTAACCAAAAGGTTGGATGTTGAGTACACCCGGAGGTGCCTTGGAAGGACGGAGGAAGGCCTGGTGATCTACTTCCAAAAAATCAGCCATTGAAAACCCTGTGGAGCACAATTGTACTCTAACACACAGTTGGGATCAACTCAACAGCAGCTGGTTTTTTTAAAGTGACTCAATTTTATGTTGTTGTTGTTAGGTGCCATTGAGTCAATTTCCACTCATTGTGACCTCATGTGACAGAGTAGAACTGCCCCAAAGGGTTTTCTTAGCTGTAATCTTTATAGGAGTAGATCGCTAGGTCTTTCTCCTGTAGATCCCTGTCTGGGTTTGAACTGCCAACCTTTCAGTTAGCAGCTGAGAGCTTAACCATTGCACCATCAGGGTTCCTTACTCAATCTTATAGGACTGTATAGGTAGATAGAGACACACACACAGACATATATGCGTGTGTGTGTATCTATATCTATACATATAAAATCTGTTAAGTCTTAAATATTCAAAGTGTTACATGGTAACATGTAACATGATAATGGTATAGTGAAAAAAACACGAGAGGATTTAGGAAATCTGTTTTTTGGTGGCAGCCTGTCACTGTCTTGCGATGATACCTGGGACAAGTGACTTTCTTTTTTTTAAAATCTGCAAGATACAAGGGTTGAATTAGATCAGTGCCCCAAGGGGCCACTTTGGGGAAAGAGAAACAGAGCAAAGCAGCCCTACTTCTATCAGTTTTCTTAGGCTTGCAAACATTCTACCATTGGAAAAACGAGTTCTGCCAAAAAAACAAAGAAGTTTGATGATTTTATCTTAATTTCTTGCAATGTGTTTGCAACAGGAAATGAAATGACTGATCAATTTTCAGCAAATTCTTTGGAGAAAGAATTTTTTTTTTTTTTTCTTTACCTTGCATCCTTCACAAGCATGAACTCCATAGTGGAACCCGGAAGCTTTATCTCCACAGACACGGCATTCAATTGCCATGAGGGAGTTGGAAGGCTCTTCATGAGGCTTATTGTAGAGCTGAGTCTTTTCAGAATAATAAGGTGGGGAGGCAGGCTCCACTTTGATTGCACCTGTGCACAAAAACATGTAAGCAGATAGTTATCACACGAAAAACAATGCTGTAAAGACCATAGGGCGGGTCACCTAGTGTACCTCACTGCCATATTTTTATTATTTAAATGTAGAAGCACTATGAAAAAGTGAAAAAAACACTGGAGTTAAGTCAGGAAAGAGTAGTCTTTGTAATCACAGGCAAGTCACAACATCTCTGAGCCTCACCTGCAAAAATAAAACGGGGAGGGGAATTAAGTCTGTGGTTTTATAACCTTTCAATACCCTATCATACTAAAGCTCAGACAACATATAGTGCTTGACACAATTGAGTTTATTTGGTTATGTAATGTACTATATTTGGCATTCATCACAAATTATTAAATCATATATTTTTATTTGAACGTGGCATTTTAGAAGTGTCTTTAAACCACTCTTGCCACAGAGACACCTTTGCTGTGAAAACGCAATGGTCTGTCCAGCTTGAAGGGCCATGAAAAGTTAAGAGACCAGCTTACCATGAGTGCTGAGCCAGAAAAAGTGGTTTGTAAAATGATCTTTGATAAAGAATGTGAGAACCTATGGAAAGCAAGTACTACTTTTCTACTGGTTAGGATCAGGCCTATTAAATTTCCATATTAGGCTCTAATTGAAAATCACACAGATAAATATAACCAAGTATATTATTTATCTTAAAAAAAAAAAACAACAAAAACTAGAAATACAGGAAGTTCTTTTTGTCAAGCAAAGGTTGCCAATTACATAGTGGTGGCTTTGGAAAACTAGGAATCAGCACACAAAGAGATAAAAATCAAGGAAATAGCACCACAGAAATAAATTTTATCTTGAAAAGTACAGTTTTGGTTTTTCTTGGGTCTGCTGCTTTGATGTGAATTTAGTTAATGGAATGGAGATTTATCAATAGCCAATAATGATAAAATTTAAATTTGTGTTGAAAAACAGGTTTCTATGTAAGCTTCTCAAACTGCAGGATTAGGAAAAATGGACTACAGTGATAGCAATTTAGTTATGCTAAGTTATATAAGGGAACCTGGAACTGTTACTTACTAACTTTTAAGCGGCCAAAAGAATTCAAAGTTTGGATGATGGACTCTTAGTCTGGGATACAACTGGCAATGTAATCGTGTTAGAAAATGCTCCTAGGGAGGAAGGAAAAAGAAAGAGAGGGAGAGAAGGAGGGAGGGAGGGAAAAAGGGAAAGAATGACCTGGGGCATTTACACACTACTTTCCTTTTTGGCATATAGTAAATATCTAATATTTCATGGATAAATGGATGAATGAATGGTAACTGCCTTCCCTATGGAGTTCTGGTCTCTAGAGTATTTATTCCAGAGTTATTGAGAGATTAGTGCAAGTCCAGTTTTAATAATCTGAGAAGTGAAAATAAACATCATACTTTGGTAGTCTTGGAGCTTCAGGTCATACTTATAGTCAGCCATCACTGGGTCTGCTCTTGTGAAGGGAATGTCTTCATAGTGTGGAGCAGAAATGCTGGAGAAATCAACAGTGGTAAAGGGTTTGATATCAAAGGAGTGAGAGTGATCATCCATTACAGAGAGATCCATGGAGCTGATTCCAAAGTTGGTGGGCCAAAATGGCATCTCGGTGTCAACCATGGTAATTCCTGAAATGGAAACAAGAAGAGCCATGAAGTTAATCCTGGAGACTGAAGCAATCGTCTAATGATATACAGAATGAGAACCAAAAGAGTCCTTGGTAAAATGACTGATCTCATCTAAGTTATCACAATGAAAGAAGGGAACATAAGCACCTTCTTAGTGTCCTCCAGGTTGCTTTACTGTAGGAAGAAGTCACCCCTTACCTGGTTATCACGCCTGACTTGGTTTACCTGAAACCAGTTCACTATTCAAAAGTGGTGTACTAATCTATTTATTAGTACAGATGTATGCAGTGTTTTTATTTTAAATGTCCTGCAAACATCTCTGCTCTGTCTTCTATAGGAGATCATCAATTGAATCTCTTAACGATTAATTTTAAAGTACATAGGTTCTGGAACAATTAGATATTCTAAAAATTAGATATCTTGAAATTAGATATTCTAAATATTTTTATCTTTAAAATGAAAAATTTGCTACTCCATTTACGCTTATAATTCTTTTTTATAATAGAAAAGTTGGATGAACACTAAATCTAGGTAAATGAATTAATTATTTAGTTGCCTGGTAAAAATAATTTTAAAGTGATACTTCAAAGTAATACTAAAATGAATCTTTAAAAAAAGTGAAGATCCCTTCTGTACTATGAAAACATACTCAAATATTTATTTTTTATGTGGATATCACTTTTCTTAAAGAGGAGAAAGTTTTTCCAATATTGAGAACAGAGAGGTTAGAGATACATAGAAACGTTTGATTATAATTAATAAAATGTCAGAATCTAGCCCAGCATTAATTAAAAAAAAATCACTTATATGCCTCCTAAGACATAGAATAAGTAGTTTTATGAATTGCCCCCTTAAGATGACAAATGCCACATGCATTTTTCTAACTATGATTTGTGGTCACAGTAAGTGAAGTAACACCCTGACAGGTTCTGGTTCTAAGTATTTAATGTGAACTTGTGACCCACTGGAGTGTGTAGACTTTAAACCTTCTGACTTGGTTTACCTGAAACCCAGTTCACTATTAAAAAAGTGGTGCCAAAAAAGCAGTCATTAAATATTTTAAATGTTAACAATTTGGTCAAAACCACTAGCGGGGAGCTGTGTGAATTTGGGATTGCTGACTATGGAATGAAGTAAATGCATTGCTCATAAACCCCAGGGCGCCTGCAATCTGCTCATCTGTCTTGTTTGCAGTCATAAGCCCACTACCTAACAAAGGGCTTGGCTCATAGTGCGTGCTCATTCAGTATTTATTTATTAAATATTAAATGAATTGATGACTAAATTAATGGCTGTGAAATTTCAGCAGAAGGGGCAGGGAAGGGGAAAAGTAAATTAACATTTATTGAGTACCTTCCATGTACCACACACATTCCTATAATCTGAGATATTATCCCCACTGTATAGATAAGCTAGGACTAGAGAGGTGAAGTGACTTGCCCAAGGTCCAGTAGCTAGTAAGTAGACATTCAAACTTAAAGCTGACTCAGAAATCCTGTTGTTGTTATTGGGTGCCGTTGAGTTGGTTCCAACTCAAAGCAACTCTATGCACAACAGAATGAAACACTGCCTGGTCCTGCGCCATCCTCACAATTGTTGCAATGTTTGAGTCCATTGTTGCAGCCGCTGTGTCAGTCTATCTCGTTGAGGGTCTTCCTCTTTTTTGCTGATCCTTTACTTTACCAAGCATGATGTCCTTCTCCAGTGGTCCCTCCTGATAACATGTCCAAAGTACGTGAGACTAAGTCTTGCCATCCCTGCTTCTAAGGAACATTCTGGCCGTACTTCTTCCAAGACAGATTTGTTCATTCTTCTGGCAGTCCATGGTATATTCACTATTTTTTGCCAACACCATAATTCAAAGGCATCAATTCTTTGGTCTTCCTTATTCATTGTCCAGCTTTCACATGCATATGAGGTGAGTGAAAATACTACGGCCTGGGTCATGGCCTGGGTCAGGCATACTCTAGTCCTCAAAGTGACATCTTGGCTTTTTAACACTTTGAAGAGGTCTTTTGGAGCAGATTTTCCCAACGCAATATGTCTTTTGATTTCTTGACTGCTGCTTCCATGGGCGGTGATCGTGGATCCAAGTAAAATGAAATCCTTGACAACTTCAATCTTTTCTCTGTTTATCATGATGTTGCTTGTTGGTCCAGTTGTAAGGATTTTTGTTTTCTTCATGTTGAGGTGTAATCCATACTGAAGACTGCAGTCTTTGATCTTCATCAGTAAGTGCTTCAAGCCCTCTTTGCTTTTCTTCTACTCTCTCTATATTCTCTTTATTCTCTCATTGATGAAAAAGGCTTATGGAAGAAGGACTGCTCTCTTAGGCATGTCTGAGAATGGATCTCTTGCTTTTGCTCAGCATGAAGAGAACTAAGGAAACTTCTCTCAAAAGCTAACTCTTGTGTGCGATTAAAGATTCCAGTTGTGGTCTTCATAAGAAAAACAAAATGTCTTGAAAACACAAATAAAGAAAATAGTACCATGAATGTGCTCCAGTGGTGCCAAGAGGGCTCATTAGGCACCGTTTGGGTTCACATGTCTGAATATCTACATAAATAAGCACCCAAACAACCTTAAGTTATCTGTGTTACAGTGTAAACACTGCACACCAAAAAGAGGAATGTGTACTCTTGATAGCTTAAAGGTCACACTGGGTTCTCAATGACATCCAGAAAAGAGTTTGTGCTCTTAACGTGAGGGGCACCCATTGAACTGTGCCTTATGTTTCAAAATTCATCTAAATCCGCCCAACTCAGTTCACTCAGTTACTTTGCCCCTCTCCTCAGCATGCTTAATTTTTCATTTCTCTATTTTATTTAGTATAATTTCATATAAAATATACCTCTTTTGTCTAGATTGTAATATCCAGTCTATCAGATTATTTCTCATTATGCTTATTGCAAAGTCCTTTTGCAATTACAAAATAAAAACTGACTATGTGAGTTAAAGGAGCCTCGATGGTATAAGTGGTTTGCTATCGGCTGCTAACCTAAAGGTTGGCAGTTGGAACCCACCCAGTGGCTCTGTGGAATAAAAGGTCTGTTGATCTGCTTCCATAGAGATTATAGCCAAGAAAACTCTGTGGAGCAGTTCTACTCTGCAACACACGGGGTGGCCATGAGTTGGGGGCTGAGTCAATGGCAACACGTTTGGTTTTTGGTTTTTAAGTGAGTTTAAGGCAGGGGTGTGCCTCTGTGAATACTTGGAAATGAAAATAAGGATGCAAAAAATATCTGGGTTGCAGGAAAAACTGGTTGCTCATCATTTTGCTGGCTTAATTTTGTTTTGTTTCATTTTTAGCATACAACTTCAGTGACTCACTATCAACCAAAGCCAGGCTTCTTTATGCTGGAATTATATCCCTAGGGGGCATCTATTTTATTTAAAGATTTTTGGGAAAAATTTTAACATCAAAATAGTCACTTAAGTGTTAAGGAATAGAAGAAAAAAATCCATGTGAAATTTTCAGATATAATAGAAACCTCTTAAAAAATGTACTTCTAGTATATTTCATGGCCAAAAAATGGTATGTTTTTACCGTCCTCTATTATTAAGGGCCAGGGAACACTGGTGGTGCAGTGGTTAAGCACTTGGCTGCTAACCGGATGGTGGGTAGCTTGACTCCACCAGCCGCTCAGGATAAAGATGTGGCAGTCTGCTTCCATAAAAATTTACAGCCTTGGAAACCATATGGGGGCAGTTCTACTCTGTCCTATAGGGTCACTATGAGTTGGAATGGACTTGACAGCAACGGGTACTGTTAAGGGCATATTAGTGGAAGAGTTGGAGAAGCACTCACCTATACGATAAATTAAAATATCTTAGCTTGACAGTCAAGACCTTCCACAGCACAGCCCTAAAACCCTATGGATCACAATGGTCTGATCCACAACTGGTCATGGGGATGGTGCAGGACCAGGCAGCATTTTGTTTCGTTTTACATGGGGCCATCATGAGTCGGGGGCCGACTCGACGGCCGCTAACACCAACAGCAGTGATTTTCCACTACTTATCCCGGACCTCACTCTCTTTCCTGGCACACCCTGTGGTTAGGTATCGCATACTATTTGCCAAGTTAAACACGCTCTGCACCTTCTAGACTGCTACTCTTTGCTCACACTGTTTCCTGAGCCTGGAATGTTCTCTTCCTGCCCTTCATCTCTACACGTCACAATCTTACCTGTCTTTCAAAGCCAGTCCAAAGGTCACTTTCTCCATAAAACCTTCCATAAATTCTCCAACTTAAAAATTCTTCATCTCTGTGTGCCCACAGCTCTTTGTACCTGTCTTTTAATTGCGATAGAATTACTTGGATAAATATGTCTACCATTAGGCTTCATATTCGGAGCAAAGTTTCAGTGTCTTATTATTCTGTTTTTTCTTTAGTGCTTATGCACATTTGCTGTTTACTCAATGCTTGCCAACTGAATTTTCATGTTTTTCAGAGAGGAGTTGTCTTAGTCATCTAGTGCTGCTATAACAGAAATACCACAAGTGGATGGCTTTAACAAAGAGAAATTTATTCTCTCCCAGTCTAGTAGGCTACAAGTCCAAAGTCAGGGCACCACCTCCAGGGGAAGGCTTTCTCTGTTGGCTCTGGAGGAAGGTCCTTGTCATCAATCTTCCCCTTGACGAGGAGCTTCTCTGAGCGGGAACCCCAGGTCCAAAGGATGCGTTCTGCTCCTGGCACTGCTTTCTTGGTGGTATGAGGTTCTCATGTCTCTCTGCTTGCTTCTCTCTTTTATATCTCAAAAGAGATTGGCTTCAGACACTATCTAACCTTGTTGATCTCATCAATATAACTGCCATTAATTCATCTTATTACATCATAGTAATAGGATTTACAACACGTAGGGAAATCACATCAGGTGACAAAATGGTAGACAATCATACAATCCTGGGAATCAGGACCTAGCCAAGCTGACAGATATTTTTTGGGGACACAATTCAATCCATGACAGGAGTAGCATGAGTTTTCATTTTGCCGTGAA